ACGTCTGGGATGACATTATGACACTTCATTGTCAACATATCGCCTTCAGCTCATATTTTCCATTCACGCGTCAGCACTTTTACAAAGCAGGCATTGCATATGCTCCTATTCTTAAAGTCCTATACAGACTCGTTAACCGCTACTTGTCTATCACAAACATGACGAAAATCAAATTCACTTACTGCTGCACTACAATAACCAAACATATTCGCTGTCATGAAACAACTCAGAAACAAACATTTGAAAAGACAGACAGTAATGCCGTCAAAGACAAGGGAGACTAAATGGCCACTTCTGACTTATTAGTTGTCGTTAACCAGTTATGGTCAGCCCCAACTGGTGCACCACCCGAGGCTTGAAATTGCGATATCTTTGGTCAGTCTAACACCATAGTCATTGAGCCACGAGCTTGTTGCCTTGCTGGTTAGGTCGATAGATAGTTACACTCGTTGGTAAGCGTTCACAGACCGACTTGCCCCACTTTATCCTGCTTTAGGTCTCATTTCTCGGGCCCTCACAGCAACTGTATCAGCTAGTAGTATATGCAGATGGCAATGCCGGCAAATGCAAGGGAGGCTGGAATGGTCTTCTCAGGCTTATTAGCCGTCGTCAGCCAGTCGTACCCAGATCCAAGTGGTGTCCCGTCCGAGCCTCGAACTCGCGATCCCTCTGTTCAGTGCCTGCTGTAGTACTATCTGATACATCGGTTGTCATAGACCGAGAAACTAGGCCCAAGGCAATGACGAAACGGAAGAAGTGAGGCAATAGCGGTCGGTAAACATTCATCAAGCAGTGTCAATATCTTTTGACCTAAACCGGCAAGACAAGGAGCGCGTGGCTCAATGGTTATGACGTTATACTCTGCTCAGAAGGTCGCCAGTTTGACATTTGGTGTGGTGCACTAATTGGTCTATGCATTCTGTGCACTACTTCAAAAATGTTATCTAATGAGAACAGTGGGGTCAGCCTAGTAGTCATTTTGGTGGATTCTAGATGATTGTTTAGGAAATCCTGCTTCAGCAGTCAGCTTGCTGTTCCGTATTGGTGGATCCCACACGAGTGGTAAAGTTGGGCGGGAAAAAATCGATCCAAGTGTGATTAAATTTACGCGCACGGCGTGGCGTTGTAGCTCAAGTGGTGGAGCTTTGGCTGTGTAAAGGTCTTACTTGCTATGCTAGTTCGACTCCCGCCGACGCCGCGAGTTTTTCCACACATGGGTCAACTAAATTAAACAAATATGCGAAAACCCCCTATATAAAAAACGGGTGCTTCTGCTAAATAATTTTACAAAACCATTAAATTATTCAACGGGAAATTTATTCCGGATCGTTGGGCCATCACTCAGGAAATCAACCTAGCTGCTTTATGACTAAAAGTAACTGCTTGACTCTGCTTGTTTCAAATTTTTCCAAAATAATTGTTCGAACATCATAAAAAATTTAACTTTAGGCCATATACTACACCTTTTTACAGCAGTAAAATAATTGGCTGCTGTCAAGCATTCACGTCTTCCAAGTATGATGTTGATATAGTTTTTTTTATTAAGAGATTTACCCCATCATGTTTTTCTACTAAGATTGTTCGCGATATTTAAATTGCAATCATTTGGAAATGAATATCAGTTCTAAGGAAGAGTATTCAACTAATAAAAATGCTTTGAATAAACTCTGCAGCCGTTTATGCTTCTCCTAGAGTGTTTTGAGCTTGAAATCCGTCAAAGTTATGGGCAGATACAAAGGGACTACATTTGGAGGCAAAATGTTCTCACCGTAGAGTTTTATTCTCAGATCGAAATGACGTGGCCAATTGCCTGACGCTTTGTCCACATTCGTACAGAGCGGAAGATGAAATCGGCAGTTTGTCAACATCATGCAGGATGAAACACTGGATGTCACGCAGTCGGTCACCAGGCGAAGCCTGCCTAATCTCCTTGACAGCAACATTAAAGAGTTTGGCTCGATTGAAGGCTTCACTGTTGGCCTGTTCCGTAATAACTATAGCATACTCTTTCTTCTGCTGGTTTAGAAATGGAATGATACGAGTAAGAAAAATAAGCAAATCGTCCCTCCGCTTCCTGTAAGGCACAATAACGGCCACCTTCTCCTTTGCAATATTCCATACCGGAAAAGACAGTCGTCTGCCAAGTTCAGCGTTTATTTCACTGATTCCAGATGTATTCGAGGTCTGTTGTGGGGAATACGTGTACACGATGCGCGTAGAGGGAGAATTATCAACAATGTAGTAATAAAAGACCACAGCGAAAACGACATAAAGGCCTATCAGGCATACCGTAAACTGCAGAACTTTGTTAAACGGGACGGTCTTTGACGTGTTTGCTACTGCAGGTGGCCGAAATGGTGTGGTTTTCACTTCAGGAACAACAACATACATTTTAAACAGTCGTCTGCTAAGGGAAATGGAAGTAAGTTACGGTCAATAACTGGAATACAAACCTTTAATATTATTGGTTGTTTTGCCTGACGCGCATATCAAATAAGTTGACTCATATGACATTTTCGGACAACCAGAGCACACGTTTACTATGTTCGCGTCTGTCGCCTGAGAGACCACAAACAACGCCAAATGGCTGAGGACCGCCGTTGCCAACACCATGAGGAATCGTCTTCGAAGGGGTCGCAAATTTTCGACTTTCATTTGAATTTAGGCAAAACCGGACTTGATTCTAAACGGTGCTAGTGTCGTATGCTCTTGACCTCATTCTTTTATCACATGTAAACAAAGAGGGGTAGAAAATGCGTTCACAATGGGTGTTGGGATCCAACTAATGCATACCTAAGACCTGCTTATGCCAATGGAAGCAGCAAATTGGGTTAATTTGCAAATCCCGCCGGTTTTTTTGAAGAAAGCATGGTTTATACCTGCGGTCAGATATCCACTTATTTCCAAAAACCCGAAAGAGAGTCGTCTTTCATCAATATGCTAAATTGATTGGAGGACTGACCACTTGGCAATGTTTTCAATTAATTTAATGCACCATAACAATTCATGAGGCTAAGCTGGTTATGATATGCAGTATAAGGTTGTGGAAACAGCTTTACATTTTCCTGTACGGTGTTCAAAGGCCTTTTTCTTCAAAATAACGATCTACCATCACCAATATAATGTAAATAATCATCAAAATGTCATCGAAGGAATATATTCAGCACTTTAGTTCAATCAATAGAGCACAAGTGAGTGTAGGTAGGCAATATACAGGTATTTGTGTTCAAAATTTCTATGACTTTGCTGGTTAACGCTGTAGAAATATTAAATGATTAATTTATTGATAAATTTATTAATGCATTAATTATTTCTGGATTAACTAGTGCGCCCACAGCTATTCTAACGTGAAAACTTACAATATCTATAATCCCTTTTCATTCATGATAAAACAATGATCGAAAAGAAGACGACTCGATCGCTGGGACTCTCACACTGAACACGGAGGCGGCGAGACGCGTTATGTTTCAAAAGCGGCAAGAGAATGATCCGTTTGTTCATTCAAGATTGCAACGCGAGGCTACGCAGAACAATGATCATCATCTCCAAGCAACGATTACAATAGTCCTTCGTCTTTAAGCGGTAAAATTGGGTCCTTCGATTCAGCTTTATTTAGTGCATTTTTGCAGAAACATATACGGAAAAAGCTATTGTATTTTGGCTAATATACCGCAGGGGCTGATGCACTTAATATATTTAGGATGTTTTCCGAATTAAATGTGAGCAATCATTAAATATTTAGGTCTTCTGTTTCCTCGGCTTATTTGCGTATTTATACCGGATTCTCTATTTCATAAAATGATCACCGAAATTCTAAAGTGCGTGTTTGATTCGAACAACTTGCTTAAGCAGGTTTGCATTGCTGATAATCTTGCAGCCTAATTTTAAGGTATTTCAATAAAATCACTTTTTAAAAAGCTCATTTCTGAACTGAAAAACAAAAAAACTCTGTAAAAACAGTTTTCCTAAGTAGTATGAAATTCTCATTTATTTTC